CCACAGCTAATATCATCTTCAATGCGGAAAAACTGAGAGCCTTTCCCCTAATGTCAGGAATAAGACAAGAATGTCCACTCAACACTTTTATTCAACATAGTACTGGAAGTCCTAGCCACCACAATCAGAAAATAAAAAGAAATAAAAGGCATCCAATCACTAAGGAAGAAGTAAAACTTTCACTATTTGCAGAACATGATACCATATATAAAAAACCTGGAAGATTCCACCAAAAAACTGCTAGAACTGATAAACGCATTCAGTAAAGTCACAGGATACAAAATCTACAGCAATAATGAAGCAGCAAAAAGAGAAACTAAGAAAACAATCCTATTTATAATCACACCAAAAATAATAAGATATCTAGGAATACACCTAATCAAAGAGGTGAAAGACCTGTACTCTGAAAACCCAGAAAACCCAGAAAAGGACCCACAATTATATAGTCAATTAATCTTGGACAAAGCAGGAAAGAATATCCAATGGGAAAAAGAGTATATCTTTAACAAATTATGTTGGGGACACTGGACAGCAACATGCAAAATAATGAAACTGGACCACTTTCTTACACCATATACCAAGATAAACTCAAAATGGATTAAAGACCTAAATGTGAGACCAGAAACCATAAAAATCCTAGAAGAGAACGCAGGCAGTAACTTCTTTGAATCTGCCATAACAACTTCTTTCTAGATATGTCTTCTGAGCAAATGGAAACAAAAGCAAAAATAAACTATTGGGACTACATCAAAATAAAACCCTTCTGCACAGCCAAAGAAACAATCAACAAGACTAAAAGGCAACCTATAGAATGGGAGAAGATATTTGCAAATGACATATCTGATAAAGGGTTAGTATGCAAGATACATAAAGAACTTATAAAACTCAATGCCCCAAAAACAAATAATCCAATTAAAAATGGGCAGAAGACACAAATAGACATTTTTCCAAAGAAGACATACAGATGGCTAACAGACACATGAAAAGATGCTCATCATCACTTATCATCAGGGAAATGCAAATCCAAACTACAGTGTGATATCACCTCACACCTATCAGAATGACTAAAATAAAAAACACAAGAAACAACAGGTGTTGGTGAGGATATGGAGAAAAAGGAACCCTCTTGCTCTGTTGGTGGGAATGCAAAATGGTGTGGAGGTTCCCCAAAAAGTTAAGAATAGAACTACCCTATGATCCAGCAATCACACTACTGGGTATTTACCTAAAGAATACAAAAACACTAATTCAAAGGGATACATGCACCCCAATGTTTATAGCAGGATTACTTACACTAGCCAAGATATGGAAGCAGCCCAAGTGTCCATTGATTGATGGATAAAGAAGATGTGGTATATATACACACAGTGGAATATTATTCAGTCATAAAAAAGCATGAAATCTTGCCATTTCCAATGACATGGATGGAGCTAAACAGTATAATGCCAAGTGAAATAAGTCAGCCAAATACCATATGACAAATACCATATGAATTTCACTCATAAATGGAATTTAAGAAACAAAACAAATGAGCAAAGGGAAAAAAAAGAGACAAACCAAGAAACAGACTCTAACTATAGAGAACAAACTGATGGTTACCAGACAGGAGGCTGGTGGGGGAAAGGGTGAAAAAAGGGTGGGGATTAAGGAATGTTCTTGTCGTGATGAGCACTGGATGATTAAAAAAAAAACTTCGGGGCGCCTGGGTGGCTCAGTCGTTAAGCATCTGCCTTCGGCTCAGGTCATGATCCCAGGGTCCTGGGATCGAGTCCCACATCGGGCTCCCTGCTCCACGGGAAGCCTGCTTCTCCCTCTCCCACTCCCCCTGCTTGTGTTCCTGCTCTCGCTATCTCTCTCTGTCAAATAAATAAATAAAATCTTAAAAAAAAAAAGACTTGGAAAAAATATAAATAAATGAATAAGTAAATAAAATGGGTGTACATATATGGGGGATTGCCCATATATGGGCATATGTACTAAGCATAGTACAAGGCACATAAGTGCTCAATGAATATTAGCTCTTATTATTCCTAACATTATTATTATTTTTTTAAAGATTTTATTTATTTGATAGAGACACAGCGAGAGAGGGAACCACAAGCAGTGGGAGTGGGAGAGGGAGAAGCAGGCTTCCCGCCGAGCAGGGAGCCCGATGCGGGGCTTGATCCCAGGACCCTGGGATCATGACCTGAGCCAAAGGCAGACGCTTAACGACTGAGCCACCCAGGTGCCCCGCTAACATTATTTTTTGATATACATATGTATTATGAAATGATTACCATAGTAAAATTAGTAACACATTCATCACCTCACACATTACCATTTTTTGTGTGTGGTGAGAACATTTAAGACTACTCTTTCAGCAACTGTCAAATATATGATATAGTATTGTTAATAATAGTCATCATACTGTACATTGGGTTCCCAGAACTTACTCATCCTATAACTGAAAGTTTTTACCCTTTGACCAACATCTCCCTATTTTCTCTCATACCTGCAGGCCCTGGCAACCATCACTCTACTCTGTTTCTATGAGCTCTTTTAGATTCTATATGGTATTTGTCTTTCTCTGCTTGACTTATTTCACTTAGCATAATACCCTGAAAGTACATCCATGTTGTTGCAAATGGCAGGAGTTCCTTCTTTCTCACAGCCTGGATATTCCTGTGTGTGTGTATGTGTGTGTGTGTGTGTGACATTTTTTAATCCATTCATCCATCAACAGACTTAGGTTGTTTCCATATTTTGGTTATTGTGAACAATGCTACAATAAACATGGGGATGCAGATATCTCAAGACAGTGGTTTCATTTCCTTTGGATATACACCAAGAAGTAGGACTGCTAAGTCATATGGTAGTTCTATTTTTAGTTTCTTGAGGAACCTTCATGTTTTCCATAATGGCTGTACCAGTTTACATTCCCACCAACAGTACACAAAGGGTTCCCTTGTTCACATCCTTGCCAATACTTATCTCTTGTCTTTTTGATGATAGTCATTCTAACAGGTGTGAAGGAATATCTTATTGTGGTTTGGATTTGCATTTCCCTGATGATTAGTGATGTTGAATGCCTTTATATGTACCTGTTGGTCATATGTCTTCTTTGGGAAAATGTCTGTTCAGGTCCTTTGCCCATTCTTTAAATAGGATTATTTGTTTTGTTGTTGTTGTTGTTGTTTTTGCTATTGAGTTCTTTGAGTTCCTTATATATTTTGGAGATTAACCACTTATCAAATCCATAGTTCTCAAGTTTCTCCCATTTTGTAAGTTGTTTTTTCATTTGTTGATTACTTCTTTTGCTATGCAGCTTTTTAGTTGATGTAGTCTCACTTTATTTTTGCCTTTGTTGCTTCTACTTTGGAGTTATATCTGAAAAATCATTGCCAAGACCAATGTCAAGGAGCTTTCCTCCTATTTTCTTCTAGGAGTTTTATGTTTTGAGGTCTTACAATTAAGCCTTTAATCCATTGTGAGTTAAGTTTTGTGAGTGGATATCTGAACTTAAAAAAAAATCCATCTTGGACGTCCCTAACCATTTCACTCAGTTATTATTCAGCAAAATTATACCAAATAAATACCTTCTCTCTTGCAAGAATCACTATTTGTTGTTGTTGTTGTTGTTGTTTTAAGACTTTATTTGACAGAGAGGGAAAGAGAGCACAAGCAGGGGGAGCGGCAGGCAGAAGAAGGAGAAGCAGGCTCCCCGCTGAGCAAGGAGCCCGATGTGGGGCTCGATCCCAGGACCCTGAGATCATGACCTGAGTTGAAGGCAGCCCCTTAACCGACTGAGCCACCCAGGCGCCCCAAGAATCACTATTTGTTATAAGAACCTTTTTTAGAGTGGTAGCTTTATCCTATTCCTGTCTTTACCAAAGCCACTTTTGTGCTTAACTGTTCCCTCCTTCATCCGGACTCTCCCCAACCTTTGAGAAAACAACAGGCTTTCTAGGAAGGGATTCATTATTTCGTTCATTCATTCATGAAACAAATCTTTTCTGAGAACTTACTACACACCAAAGGCTAGGTAAGATGCAGAGGATGCAGTGAGGAGCAAACAAACAAGAACAATTTCGGGCTCCCAGGGTGAGGTGGGTCCCCACATCGCAGTTCAGAAAGGGAATGAATGCAAGGTCAAGACATGGGGGCATCTATCTCACCCAGCACCTCAGAAAACTTGACAGGGCCCTCCCAGGGACACAAGTCACTGCGCACTTCTTGGGAAGGCTTTGATATTGAGAGAGGATTTAGGTAAAATAAATGCAGAAGGGACGAGAGCGTCTGCAATTCAGGCAGAAAATAAGCAAACTCGGTTAAAACACGCAAACAAGCAAAACTTCAAAGCAGCACGCTCTGAAAGCTTCGCAGACTCTCCCCATCCTGGTCTGAGGAGTCACCAGGTGAATCGGGAGATCGGGCGGCGAACGCGGCCCCACTCCAGGTCTCGGGCGGCCGCGGGACACCAACTGGAGGCTGCGGGGCTGGGGGCCGCCCCGGAGCGTCCCACCGGCCGCTCTCCAGATCCCGAGCTTCTCAGCGGCGCCCTGGAACCGCGCTGCGGGGTGTGCGGCGGGGCGGGGGACGCCGGGCCTGGTCTGCAGGGCGAGGCGAGGCGAGGCGAGGCCGGGCCGGGCGGGGGTGGGGGCCACGCCTCGGCGGAGGCGGGCCGGGCCGAGCCTATTTGAGGCGCTGAGCCACCGCCCGGTGAGGGATCGCACCACCTCAGCCGAAGCCGCCCCCGCAGCAAGCGAGCGAGCGCCGAGGCGTCGGGTGAGTGGCGGGGCCGCGGGACGCGGAGGGGGCGCTCTGACGGCCCCGACCCGCAGGGGCGAGGGCGCCCGGGCGGGGGCTGGGGGCTGGGGGCTTGCCGGACGGCGGCTGGGCGCGAAGAGGCGGGGGGTCGCGTGAGGAGCTGGGGGCACCGGGGCACTCGCGGCTTGGACCCCTCGAGAGAGCGCAGTCTGAGGCTCTGGGAAAGTTAGCGGCGCTTTACAGAGACTCACGCACTGATCCCGGGGCGGGCGATGAGGGCGCGGGGCAGCCTCCGCGGCGACCGGCAGCCTCAGCCACGGCGTCCCGCCCGCGAGCCGGGGGTGGGGGAGGGCGCGCTCAGCAACCGCAGCGGCCCGCCCCAGTGTGGGATTAGGAAGCGGGTCCTCCTTCCCTGCGCGCGGCGGGCCTGCCCGGGGACCCTGGAGGCGGCCCCTGCGCCCCTTGACTGGGCGGCGCGGCCGCTGGGGCTGGCTGTGGGGCGCGCGCGAGCCCTGCTAGCAGGCCCGGCCGCGGTAGGGGCTGCCGCCGCTCTCTGGGTGCTGATCCCACAGAAAGTGGTGATGCCCCAGGGCCTGAGTGGGCATGCGTCTGGCTTGGCGAGCAGTGCACATCCAAACTTTTGCAAATCAGTGACTCATCCCTGCCCAGACTGGCTGATTTGGGCATTATCCCAGATCTGTGCGGAGGACGTGTAGGGTGTGGCAGAATGTTGGTCCGAAAATCGGGGGACAGCTTTTAAAACAGGTTTGAAGATGTATTCTGAATTATCAGGTGCTGAAATAAAAACACTATAATGTATCCACTCTGAGGAGTAGGAGCTGAACGGCAGAGAGTCAGAGACACGTACGGTGAGGCTGTGACTTCGGCTTCAGGCCCACCCCTTTAAGTTAGTGATTCCTAGTCCAGATACTGTGGAAGTTTTGTAAAGTGACTCCTGGGAGTTGGGTTGCTGGGCAGTGAAGACGGCTGAACCGCAGTGACCCAGCCTGTTTCTGGGATTCTGGGAAAGGAATGGAAGACAGTTCATCTGTGATCGTTGGGAGATGGGAACTGCTTCCTAACTTCATAACGTTTGGGGGTTACACTCAGAATCAGCACCTACTCCGTGTTCTGGGGAAAAGTTTGATGATGGTCTTTGAATGTTTTGAGCTTCAAAGTGCTAGAAGGTTACTCACCAGGTTACTTAAGTAGCAGAGGAGGGGGAACACTGCCTGATAGATTGACCCCCAAAGCTAGTTTTTTGCAGGCGTCCTTAAACAATGATGTTTCCCTGTGCTACAAGTATACATCAGTGCTTTGCTGTGAAGACTTCACTTATTGCTAGTGAGGTCAAGGGCCAATGCTGGTCTCACCTATAGTTTGGGTACCTACTTGCCTAGAACCTCATCAGCCAGACTCAACATCTTAACCGCAGAGACTTGCATCCATATATTATAACCTGAGCATGTCACATTGACCTTAAATACAGTTGGCTTGTGAGATTATTGTAGCTGAGACTCATGGTTAACTGATCTAAAACATAGCCTCCCTTTCCTGTGATGGCTTGGGAAACAGGCTCCTGCTGAGGACAGCTGGGTTAACATTTGGTGTCTAGTGCCTGAACTGGTTCTTCTTCTTTTTTTTTTTTAAATTATTTTTTTAAGGATTTTTATTTATTTACTGAGAGAGAGAATGATAGAGCATGAGAGGGAGGAGGGTCAGAGCGAGAAGCAGGCTCCCCGCTGAGCAGGGAGCCCGATGCGGGACTCGATCCCGGGACTCCGGGATCATGACCTGAGCCGAAGGCAGTCGCTTAACCAACTGAGCCACCCAGGAACTGAATTTTTTTTTTTTAAGATTTTATTTATTTGAGAGAGAGAATGAGATAGAGAGAGCATGAGAAGGGGGAGGGTCAGAGGGAGAAGCAGGCTCCCCGCTGAGCAGGGAGCCCGATGCGGGACTCGATCCCGGGACTCCGGGATCATGACCTGAGCCGAAGGCAGTCGCTTAACCAACTGAGCCACCCAGGCGCCCTGAACTGGTTCTTCTGATTAAATTCTCAGTGGTAAGCCTGCCAGAACAGTGCTTGCTGTAAACTTCCAATGTGCTGCTGACTAAGTATCATGTGTTTGCTCTTGACTGATGTTCAGCTTTTCCATAGGGAGAAAACAGTCAGTAACTGAGAGGCACAAAGTAACTTTACCTTCCTTGATGCTGAGGAACTATGATAAGAAGGAAATCCTAGTAAAGAACCAGTTCCTTTATTCCAACTCAGCATCACTGAATTTGGCTTTGCAAGGTAGACTTGTTTCAGCAAGGGCAGGAAGTTCTTTGCAGAGGAGTGTGGGCAGTACCTTGGGGTTCTGAGGAAATGCATTCATGATCTACTTCTCTTTCAGCTTGTATAAAAGTCAGGGCCCTTTGTGAGCAGAAATTTCAGAAGTGCTCCTGAACTAATTGCTAGGTGGACCTAGAATAACATAGTACAGTAGATAGCCACTCTTTATTAGAGGGGGAAAAGCTATAATTAACAGCCAATTAAAAGGGTCTACATTCTGACTCATGTTTAAATTCTTTATTCCAAAGCAACACTGAACTACTTCCTGTAGGTTTTTCTGAATGTGAAGACTCAGGTAGTATTTCCTCAGTTTTTTGTTTTGCTTTAATGTAGTGTTTCTTTTGTGGCGCTTCTAAATTCTCTGATTCTGGGAATGGCAGGATGGAGTTCACATATCTGTAGTATCTGTAAGGCGAGAAGATTTTTTTTACATTTGATTGTGTCTCTATATAAACTGTTCATCTAAAAGGAAGGAAGGAAGGAAGGAAGGAAAAAGAAAAAAAGAAGGAAGGAAGGAAGAAAGGAAGGAAGGAAGGAAGAAAGAAGAGGGAGGGAGGGAGGGAAATTTTCCAGGCAAGTAAGAAAGATATTTATCCAAATACATTTTTTTTTAAAGTTCTAAGGTTGCTAACCTTGATTTCAAAAATGTATCAGTTATAATCTTTTTTTTTTTCGTAAAAGAGAACTAATGGTTGAGAATGAACATATCAAAACAGTGCATACCTAATTTTTGGAGAAGTACACTTTATTGGTTTAAATGTGGTTATAATTAGCAAAGTGACTGTGCAAAATGGCATCGTTGTATTCAATACAGTGTGTATTGAAGCTTACTGAATGAGTCACCCAGCTAGTTTTCTGACAAAAACAGGATCTCTCTTTTTTTTTTTACAATTTCAACATGTTATATAGTTCTGAATGAATAAGTCAGAGAATTAATTTCTAAGTGAAGTAATTAACACTTTTAAAGGACTATACATTAAAATTTCAAAGTGAGGTTTTACATTTAGTGTAAAATGAACCTGCATTAAGAGTGAGGATGCTTGGACCCTGGTTGTTGACCTGCCAAGAACAGAATGACTTCGGGCCACCATATTAGCTCTCTGAGTCTCAGTTTCCTTACCTCTAGAATGGGAATATTAACTTTCCCCTGAAAATCTTATAAGATCATTATCAGAATGAGAATAGGAAAGGTATGGGAAAGTGCTTCATAAACTGAAAAGCACCACATTAATGCAGGGTGTCATCATTCTAATGGGCTTGTCCATTGTGTCACAACATGATGCAAACTGTCACCCAAGGCTTTATGTGAAACACAGTGGAAAGAAAGTGAAATCTGCTTTGTTTCTCAAATTGTTTTGGTTGGAGCTGAAAATAAGCTGAATATGCTTGAGCAGAGACTTTAAGAAGAAATGTTACATTTTGGAAATGCTGTTTTTGGTTTCTAGTTGTAATCAGCCTTTAAACACATGTTAGCTTGATTGGAGTTATGTTAATATGACACCTTATTAGGCCCATGGTACAGATTTAGCTAGTTTTAACTATTGAAACTAACTTTTTGGTTTTTATTGACCTGTGTATCTACACTTCTGGAGAGATACACATGCCGATCAGCCTAGACAAGTGTTTCTCAACCAGGCAAAATTTTGACCTCTCCCCCCACTCCCCAGAGTCCAGGATATGTGGCAACATCTGAAGACATTTTTGGTTGTCACAATTGGGAGGTGGGGTATTATGCTGCTGGCATCTTGTGCATCGAAGCCATGGATGCTGCTCTCCATCCTGTAATGCACAAGACAACTCCAACGGATGGGGAAAGTCTTTACAGAATAGGAATATTTAAGACAAGTCAAAACACTTATAAAGTTATAAGTCTGGGTCTTTGGTATGTTGTGCAGGAATGGAAGAAGTTTGTGTAATCAAAGGAACTAAACTTTCTGCCCACCGTGAAGTTCAAGATTGTTTCCTACTAGCCTCCAAAATGAGAGAGGCTTTGTTTTCTTAAGAAATGCCCTTTCTAGGGGCACCTGGGTGGCTCAGTTGGTTAAGCCTCTGTCTTCAGCTCAGGTCATGATCCCGGGGTCCTGGGATTGAGTCCCACATTTTTTTTTTTTTTTAAAGATTTTATTTATTTGACAGAGAGAAACACAGCGAAAGAGGGAACACAAGCAGAGGGAGTGGGAGAGGGAGAAGCAGGCTTCCCGCCGAGCAGAGAGCCTGATGCGGGGCTCGATCCCAGGACGCTGGGATCATGACCTGAGCTGAAGGCAGATGCTTAACGACTGAGCCACCCAGGTGCCCCGATTGAGTCCCACATTGGGCTCCCTGCTCCCCCGGGTGTCTGCTTCTCCCTCTGCCTGTGCCCCTCCCCCGCCCCACTCTAGCGAGTGCTCTCTCGCACACACTTGCTCTCTCAAATAAATAAATAAAAATCTAAAAAATGAAAATGTCCTTTCTGGGGAACCTGGCTGGCTCAGTTGGTAGAGCATGCAACTCTCAATCTTGGGATTGTGAGTTTGAACCCCACATGAGGGTGTAGAAATTACTTAAACATAAAACCTTAAAAAAAAAGAAACATCCTTTCTTTCTTTGTTTTTTTTTTTTTTTAAAGATTTTATTTATTTACCTGAGAGAGAGAATGAGAGACAGAGAGCATGAGAGGGAGGAGGGTCAGAGGGAGAAGCAGACTCCCTGCCAAGCAGGGAGCCCAATGCGGGACTCAGTCCTGGGACTCCAGGATCATGACCAGAGCCGAAGGCAGTCGCTCAACCAACTGAGCCACCCAAGCGCCCTCTTTTCCTTTTCTGGAACAATGCTTCTCTCAAGTTCCTCCTGCGGTGGCAGCACACTTTTCTAAGCAGCGGAAGCCTTTTGGGGAAGGAAGCACAAGCAGAGGAACACCTGACTTCTACTTTAAAAGATCAAATGCTATAGGAAATCCAGGAATGGAAGCCCTGGGAGAGTCACTGTGACTTCCCAGTCAAGTTGCCAGCAGTTTCCCATGTTAGAAGATGGATACGGTGATACCCTAAACTGCTTCCAAATATGTTTGAGAATGCCCAGATTTAAAAAAAGAGATGTGCAAAAAAAAAAAAAAAACAAAAAAACAAACTTAATAGAAGGTAATATTTAACTGTGGTATAAATAACAGCAGAGTATGATAAAACATCTGGTGTGTATAAATGGAGGACATTAAGTCCTAAGAGGAGTTCTGCCTATTTTTTTTTAACCAAAAACTCTAATATTTTAGATTTTTAGGACCTATCAATTAGGATCCCTTGGGAGTAATGTCATTTCTTAAATAATTTAGTAAA